TTGACATCTGGGGTTTGACAACTTTGAGGAGGTATTTTAATAATATTGGTGCAAGGTGGTTCTCTTTAAAAAATGTAACCTTTGTCATTCAGTTTACTAATTTATTTAGAGAGAACTAAGAAATTTCCTGCCATGTACTAGTATGGTAATATTAGAAAATCACTTTATCTAATATTCATTCTGTCCTTTAAAATGTCAGGCTCCTCATTAGGCCTTAGGAATACAAAAGAGATTTTGACGAGATTGGACCTCTCAGAGAGGTTTGTAGTCTAGTGGGGGAAATAGATGTCTGAACACAATTGCAATAATGTGAGAAAAGTGGCAATTTTGCATGCGCAAAATGGCACATTTCCCTAAGACGTGTAGCAAAGGCCTCATGAAGATAGCAACAACTGAGCGTAGACCTTAAGGACAAGTGGGCATTTTCCAGATTGAAAAAGCAAAATGGACATGCAGAGAGGCTCATAAGGGTGTGAGCTCATTTAACATTGTCAGATACTGAGGAAACTACCACATATGCATTCACAATTTGAACCTCCAACAATTGCCCTAGGGAAGTTTTGTTATTACTCCTTGGTACATATGTGGCTACAGGGATCACACATAATGACCAGGTTTTGAACCCAGGCAGCCTGAGTTCACTGCCATAACCACTTCCTTGGAATGTCTTTGAGTAAATGTATTATCATACCGCTGCAGAAAAGTACAAAAGGCAAAACCCAAAGCGTTCATTAATTTCTGAGCACCTACTCTGTGCTAGGCACTGGGCTGGAGTGAACTGTCCAGAGAAAGTTAGAAGGATATTCTGCTAACAACCCAATGAGGCTGAAGAAGCAAGTATTGAGAGAAAAAGCAACCAATAATTTGTTGTTGCCAGTAAATGAGGCACGAAAGATGGGGTAGACAAAGATGACTCATGGTTTTTGCTTGAAAAATGGAATAAATGTGATGACATTATGAAGGAGGTAAAACATTAGGAAGAATAACTTAATGGGGGAAGATAATGAATTTATTTTGGAGCACTGGGTTTCCCTTAGGAAAATTAGATGGTCAAATTACTTGCTTAACTAGCTCTCCGTTTTGATTAAGAACACCAAATTATACACTGATGCTTAGAACTCTAAAATACTATGCAAATTTGAATACAAACTATCTGACTCCCAATGAATGAAAACCCACGATGGTCTAAACTCGTGTAGTCTGTAAGCATGGGAAACTCTGAGAGGGTCCTTCAGGGAGGTAAATGGTTACTGCAGAAATCTGGCACAGAGCAGATGCTTAATAAATATTTGTGGAGTGAAATAATAAACTAATGAATAAATGAATGCACAGATTCAAGGTGAGATTATTTATCTACCGAATTTACCTGCAGGTGACGAATGAGAGAAAATAGACCTGAATTAATGCAAAAGAGAGTTGAAATTGATAAATGATTAACTCTGTAAGCTTGTACAGGATTACCCCTGGAGAAGTTCTGTAAAGGGAGGAACTGTCTTTGCTAGAGAGGTTGCAGCTTTCTAACTTGGATAGTTTATCGCAGGCCTGTACACAGAGTTCAGCAGAAATAGGAACGGGCAGCGTTGTTTCATCAGAGGGTCTGATAAGCCCACATCCTCTCTCACTTTTGGTTGATGTAGGCATCTACTTATCCTAAGACATGTGGTTGGTCCTTGTCACTTTATCCTTAAAGCTCTCATTTAGTTTTATTTCAATATAGTACTTTTCAAACCCCAGCTAAGATGTTCTATTCATTTTTATATATAGATTAATTTAAACTTTATTCTTTGGTCAAAGTTTACTTGGATTCAAAGCCATCAAGATGTTTCCTTTAAGTTGTATTTTTAGTCACACTCTCACGACCCCTCCACCTCAGGTGTCATTTCCCCCTCAAGCCTCTCTTAACATGTTTACAGTCACGACATCTATTCCTGTCATTTGCACATAGAACCAAGATTATTCTGTAGATAATGCTGTTTCTTTTAGATTCTCTCATTTATATTTTTATCTCTTATTTAGGTTATTTTATTACGTAATAATTTTGATTTTATTGCATCAAATTTTTTACTATTTATATAATCTTGTCCAAATACTTTTATTATATTGCCTCAATAATAGTTTGTATACTCATTTTGTTGTGTATATTGTAATTTCAAAACTGGAATAAAATTGTATAATTAAATTATTTAATTTAGAATCAAAATGTTTGAATTATGACAGCAGAAGTTAAATTGTAGCCACATAATAAATCATAAAAATATGGAAATTTATCAACAAATGCTGAATGCCCTGGTCAATGTTGGTTGCCAAGCTAAGAACTGGTGATATAACAGTCACCAAGACAAGGACAGTCCCTATTCCAAACATGTTTATAGATTAGAGGAAAATACAGACAAATAAATATAATATTAGAATGTCATATAATAAGGACTACAATAGCAAGGTGTCAGATCACTGTGGGATAGAAATACACATATACATGTATATATTCACACATACAGACACATACATATGCATACACATCCATATATATTTAAATAATAAAATAATTTCTATTTTATTACTTTATTGTTCTCAGACTATAAGGTTTACTTCAATATAAGGACTCACATGTTTCCAAAATACAGATATTCACTCCTTTGACAATAAATCATTTTCAAAATTAATGCTGTAGTTTTAAAATTCCTGAATGTGTTATAAGTATTTACCACCAATTCAAAAATATTTCACATTTGTAATACATAAGAAAGGAATATGTTTTTATGATTGACAGGTAATATAGAAAGACCTCTTTTTGAAGTGGTTGTTCCATTTGAAAACACATTATTAAGGTTACTGGAAAGGATATAAAAACCATGCTCATTTTCATGAAGTATACTTTAAAATGTGACCTTATATTTAAGAATTTTAGCCTTTGAGTTCTGACAAATGATAAATATTACATAATTACCACGTTAAATGACTTTCAAATAATTTTTATTATAATCTAAGAAATGCAGCAAGATAATAACACACAAGATCTGATTATGAATTAATTTTCAAGAGGTAGCATCTGGAGGACAAAAACTCTGTCTACTGTTTCCTTTGTGTTCTCCTACAGGGTCTAGTAAAGACGGTAGGTGCTCACTAAGTGTTGATGATAGTCTCACTTCAAACTTAGTTTGGATGAGCTTCTGAATTAAGTGTCCTCTGATGTCCTTTTCTTCTCTGAAATTATGTTGTTCTGTACTATAGTGCTGTATATTCATTTCCCCCATGGAGAAATATAAAGCTCATAATGCCCTATGAGTAAGAACGGTCTGTTGAGCGAGGCAGTTGACCCAGTATTCATGCAGAATTTAAGACAAAAATCTCAGATAAGGTTCTCATTGGGAGGAATTATTCCCAGATTAGCAAAGAATGAGTTAAGGCAGTCTCTTCTCTTTTACTTATTTAGAAATTATTTGGTTGGTGTATTACTTCTTATTTCTTTTTTTATTACTAGAGCACATATAAGATGTCTCTCAATGATTAGAGTTGAAAATAGCATAGTAAAAAAACTTCCAAATAATCACAAGTAAATGCTGATTTACTAACCCTGAACTACCTTAAGTTGCATAGTGCTGTGTAGTGACAATGCTAAGCAGGTCCAGAAAAGCATCGTCTAATGGTTTTTATTATACATTACATTTTTCTAAACGTGGTTTGGTGACTTAATTCCTGTAAAATATACTACAAGGGAGTGATGAATACACATCCACTCTTCTTTTTTTCTTTTTTTTTTTTTGGCTGAGGAAGTTTTGCCCTGAGTTAACGTCTGTGCCAATCTTCCTCTATTTTGTATTTGGGTCGCTGCCACAGCATGGCCACAGACAAGTGGTGTACATCTGTGCCCAGAAACCAAACCCAGGCCACCAAAGTAGAGTAAGCAGATCTTAACCACTAGGCTACATGGCCAGCCCCGTCCATCCACTCTTACCTAGTCTGAAAAGTTATTTGACAATAAAAGGACCATATAAATTTAGAAGTGAAGACATGCCAAAAGACATTGTATGTGATTCGTTATCAAATAAATGACAAGAACCCCTTTACGATTACAGGTTGAGAAATTATGTTAGCTTTTCTATATTATGGATATTGTTTGGACGGACAGAAGAAAAATAGATGAGACATACCAAAAAGATGAAAAGCCTTAGCAAAATCTCAGAAGCAGGCAAACGAAAGCTGGATTCAGTAAAAAATGATAATGTCACTGTCTGACACAGAGGTGTGGATGGGGAAGACAAGCAGGCTGTGGGCGGACGCACAGGAGCTGAAATAGAGAGCCGTGGAAGATGGACTTCAATCACTGCATAAAGATATCTCTTGCTTGTGAAAACCCTCTGAGGCAGAAGTCACTTTGTTTAATTTCTCCAAAATTAGACAAAAAAAGAAAAGAAAAAGAAAGGAAGAAAATATATTTCTAGGAGTTCACAGAAATAAATTATGTCCATAATCTGCGATGCAAAGCATTGAAATTGCACTCAATATTCCAAATGTAAACATATACAAACTTTCTGTGGTACAGTACACCCAAAGTACACACTTTGTAAACAATGTCAGGTAGAAAAAACAAATTTTTTTTGCTATATATATGTATGTTTTATCTGTCTTTTGGGGGATGTTTTAAAATGGAGGTGAATATAATAAGAACATTGGACAGTAGAAATTAAAAGTACTGATTCTGCCATGTCTGTTTATGAGTTTACAATTTCGATTCTATGGGTTTAAACATAATAAGAGCACAAAATGGAGAAGGAAGCAAAGAAAATGTATGATGCAAAGGAAGACCATAGACTTAAAAGTCAAATAGACATGGCTTGTAATAAGTCTAGTTTTTCTGCTGTGTGACTTTTGAACTCTATTTAAGCTCTTTGGCTTTCAAATTTCTTATCTATATAACAAGGACAGTTCTTTCTATTCCGTACCATTGATGTGTCTAGTTTCATCCTTGGCACAGGAGCAGCACTCAAAAAACGTTAACTCTCATTCCATGAATGTCATTATTTTATTCATGGTAAAATTTCTGTTAGGCATAGAAAAGACAACGTCAGATATTTTTAAAGTTCAATATAAGGTCATATCGTGGTTCTTTTAAAACATATTGTACTTCGGGCTGGTCCGGTAATACAGTGGTTTAAATTCATGCTCTCCTCTTTGGCAGCCTGGGGTTCACGGGTTCAGATCCCAGGTGCTGACCTCCAAACCGCTCATCCAGCCATGCTGTGGCAGCATCCCACATAGAAAATAGAAGAAGATTGGCACAGATGTTAGCTCAGAAACAATCTTTCTCACCAAAATATATATATATATATATATATACACACACACACACATTTTATATCATAATAACAATATCATTAATACACTTTCTTTTTTTATTGAGGTAACACTGGTTTATAAAATTATACAAATTTCAGGTGTGCATCATTATATTTTGATTTCTGTGTAGACTACATCACGTGGACCACCCAAAAGCTAATTACCATCCATCACCACACGCATGTGCCCTCATCCCTCCTGCCTCGGGATTACTGTAGTTGGTATTACACGTTCAGTTAATAAATGATTTAGAATTCAGTTGAAGAGAAGAGAATTCGCTCTATTTTATGTTAGCAGGAAAGGATTTATTCTGCAGCAGTAAATACATACAGGAGTTTGGGAGGGGCTGAAAAAACTGTCTCTATCCTGATCTTTCAGGAACTATTACCAAAAATATGCTCCAGAGCCAGGTTGCCAAGAAAGCCTCTGTTCCTTCTACGATTGGTGAGAAAGGTAGTTTAGCAACAGGAAGTCACTGCTGCAGCTCCGCATCACCTCTGACGTAATTCTCACGTGCGAAAATGGATGCCTCAAGCCCTGCCCCTTTTCCCACAGAATTTAATTCTAAATGTAAGTTTTGCTCAAGTCTATCTGATTTGCAGGACCAAGATCATATTTGAAATTCTATGTTCAAGGAAGATTAGAAAATAAATTTTTTGGCTTTTGAGCCCCTTGTTGTAGGAATTTTCTTAGAAAGTAGTTAGAATGGATCATTATCAAATCAATATTGTATATCTACTACAGTCCAACACTTGCCACTCAATAACCCACTTCCACCCTTAAATTTCTAAACAGCAATAGTTGGTAACAACAGGTACCTTCCTAATAAATACAACATCTTTCATACAAATGAAATAGTATCCCGATTTTACTCTAAAAGCACAGTCTGCCTGATGTTCATTTGTTTCTTAGTTTAATTAGAATGCCATCATGATAGCCATGATATTTACCTTGTGGATAAAAGTAACACTAATATATCCTATCTACAATAGTTTGACAAAGAGAGAGAAATAAAAGAAATTTGGTTAACATGAAGGCATAAAGGAAGAATATAAGGATAGCTGCCTTAGGCTCTATATTTGTATTAGGTAATAATTAGATTTTCAACTTGTTCCTTCCTCCATTCATTCTGTATTTCCTTTGTTCACAGTTACTACCTCTATTCTTCAGTATTTTTTTTGGTGAGGAAGATTAGCCCTGAGCTAACATCTGTGTCCATCTTCCTCTATCTTATATGTAGGATGCCTGTCACAACATGCTTTGATTACCAGTGTGCAGGTCCGGGCCCGGGGTTCTGAACTTGTGAACCCCCGGGCTGCTGAAGCACAGTGCACAAACTTGACCACTACACCACCGGACTGGCCCTTACTCTTAAGTATGTTTTACTGTTCAGGTGGCCTAAAACTTTATTCGTAAAGGATCTGACTTTTGATGCTCCTGCATATGTGTGGTTACTCCCATCTTTCACTAATAACACTTGTCATGGCAGTACATGAAACACTCCTCCTCCCCTCATTGTGTTAAAACAACCCATTTGCCCATGATAATCATAATCAGTTATCCCAGATAACGTAGTATTAGTCCCCTTTTTTGGTTTGTTGGTCTAGCAGCATGAGGAGCCCAAAATGACCAGCTAGAGATCTCAATGACAAATTCAACGGCATCACTATGGCTTTATCTAGTGGAGGCATTTATCTAAGAACTCTAAACTAACAGAACTCTGTTATGCAAGGAAAAGGAGAAAATATATTGTGAATTACTCACTAGGTATAAGAAATGCTACTTCAGGGGCTGGCTCTGTGGCCAAGTGGTTAAGTTCGCGTGCCCTGCTGCAGCGGCCCAGGGTTCGCATCCTGGGCGCGGACATGGCACCGCTCGTTAGGCCACATTGAGGTGGTGTCCCACATCCCACAACTAGAAGGACGTGCAACTAAGATATACAACTGTGTACAGGGGGGGTTGGGGAGATAAAGCAGAAAAAAAAAAAAAAAAAGATTGGCAACAGTTGTTAGCCAGGTGCCAATCTTTAAAAAAAAAAAAAAAAGAAAAAGAAAAAGAAAAAAAGAAATGCTACTTCTAATTTACTTGATTCCAGTTCCATGTGCTCTGAGTATGAGAGAACTAGCCCAGCCTCATATATTGGTCACTGATTTGCAGAATATTCTGTCACCTCTAGGACATCATGCTTTCAAAGTTTTGTTTGTAACCATCGCAATAACAGAGTCTTTAAGAGTGCATACAAGTAGTTACTTATAGGTGGTAGAGTAAGACTGGTGAGTTCTATGGGTATAAACCAGCTGCCTCATTACTTTGTCTGGGAAACGAGTTCATTCACTCAGAAGTGGAATATCCTGATGTTGAATCCTGATGTTAAGTTTATGGTAGCATTGTTGGCAGAAACATGGCAGGGAGAGATGCATAAACCACAATAGGTGTCTCTTCAAGTAAGAAAACTTTCCATATTTGACAAGCCCCAAGTTAACTAACTGGTCCTCTAGAGATATATTGCTATTTGGAGCCCTCCATGTTCCTCATGGCTGCTGGCGTTGGACACACCGAGTGGCATAGCTGGATTGTGAAGAGCAAAGCAGTGTGAGTGCACTCATCCATAATTTCTGTCCCCAACAACATGAGCACTTTTGCCCTGACCCCTTTAAGCGAGTGTGGGATGCCTTGGAAAAGAAGCCAAGTAATATCATTAAAAAAGAGGCCATCTTACTCACCTGACTTAGAGCTTCTCCTACCAAGAGAAGCATATAACACACAAATATCCTCTCACTCTGGGTCGATTTTGAGAAGTTCACAAACTTACCTCTTCCTCAAACCTCTTTGTAATCTACCTATTTTTTAATATTTTTCTCTGTTATGCCCTGACCATCTAGCCAAACTATCGCCTATTGTTTTTGAACATATATTACTTCATACTTGCAGCCATGTTCCTTCCATGCATTGTGACAGCAATGTGCCTCATTCGAATTGCTGCTGAATGGCAGAACTTTCTCCCCTCTCCTTTCCAAACAGTGGGCTGTTGCAGCATTACAGGCACTCTTTTAACTACTTCTAGTATATAATGAATAACTGTTTGTAAACCAAATTCTTTTTTTAAATTTCTCAATCAACTGGTCATAGGACCAGTGGGCATGCACAAATGTGGGTGGACTGGCAGAGCCAGTGCCATAGAGGTTGATGCACTGAATTCAGAGACTTCTATAACCTTTAGAATATTTCTAGTTATAAATAATATACTTTTTATAATAAATACAATGTAAAATTTGAAATTATAAAGATAGTAGTTATAAGTATAAAAATTAAAGTAAGACCTTAGTGGACTGCCCATCTATGTTAATCTTTGGTATTCCATGAACCATCAGTCACAAATTCTGACGGCTCTTTTGTTACTTATTATGAAAACCATGATGCCCTTGTTTCTGTCCATTCAATGTTTCCACTTGGCCTCCGAATTCTGAGATCTCATCATACTCATTAAAATCAGACCCAAATCGATACAACCCTCCTCATCCTACTAAAAGAATAGAAAATAGTATACTATGACTTCCTCACCAATGCATTTCTCAATGAGTTGGTGAAAGGAATCTCCCTTGTGTTCTCTCAGGAGTCATAGTCAGTGGATATATAAATTAATCATACATGACTAAGCCACTCCAACATTGTTAACTCGTGGAGGTGTTAGGATCCCTTCTTTGATGTTTTACTTTGGAAATGTTGGCATTTTGACAATTTAGTATAAATCATATTTGGGCCCATGTTTAAGAAACCAACCAACAAAACAGAGAGATTTTCAGATGTCTCTGTTAGAAATAATATTCATATTCTCTGGGAAGTGCAGCCTTATAAACATATTTATCCCAAACTAAAATTGTGTTCTTTCCACCTTCGTCTAGCATATTTGTAATTAACTCCCATACATTTTCCTCAGTTCAAAATCGACTATGATGAATAAACTTTATCTCCAGGTCATCCTAAGATCCCTCTCTACAGAGGTACATACAGTGCAGGAGTATTAATGATAAGGCTAGAGAGCAGGTATCTCCTTGAGGTAACATTATCCCAGGTCTTAAGGCAAATCAAAATTAGCCTCATCACTTGGGAGAAAAAGCTACTTCTATGGGCAAGGAAAGCTCATTGGGCATCCCAGGACTTCCGAGTCAACTGAATCCACTGAAATCTTCCAATTCTAATTTTTGAGGGCTCATTATTTTCCAATAAACACATTAATTTTCTCATTAGACATTTGTCAAGACTATAAAGGTTTCCAACACCTTAATGTAGCAATCAATAGCATTAGACTCTCTGTGCAATTGTGGTAATTGTTACCACTGTTCACCAATATTCAGTGACTATTTCATTTTTGATTCTCTAGACATGTCCTATGATGGCAATTACTAACTCCTTTGGGGGGGGTAGAACCATATTATTGTTTATGTTCAGTCAGTTGTGAGTTGACTTGTATGCACAACTTCAAGGATAGAGTATTTAATTTCTGATACAAGACATTCCAGACTTTCTTTACAACTAGCATAGCCACTATGTTCAAGAAGGTAGCTGCTGCATCAACAGTGTGTGTCCTTTCGAGGCTATGAAGAAGCCTCTCCCTCACCAGCAATGGACAGGGAGTTTAAACTATTTTATTTTGAGCTACTTAGATTTTGGGGGTTTGTTTTTTAATGCAGAACAGCTTAGCCATTCTGATTAATACACTGATTATCATGGGTGCTAAGCCTATGCCCTCACTGCATAAGAGATTATAATTCTTTTGGGGCACTCAGAGAAATTCTCTGGACCTGGGATGCTGTTTTGAGTAGGACTTTAAAACTTGGGCTTGTCCTTTTCCTTTTCTGCACTCTCCAGCACAGCTGAAGCAGTTCACTCACTCCAGAACTCATTCATTCTTCATTTTTGTCATAAGGTATATTGTAGCAGTTAATCAGCTGATCAAATGTTCTCATTCAATAAACACTTTCTCCCAGGAGGCTACTGATAATCATTTAATTTGCTGCTTTGATACAGCATGTGATGGAATAACAGTGTTCTTTATTCTTATGTTAGCAAGATTCCCATTGTCTTCAAACACAACCAGGCCAGATACTCAATACCAGATGCCCATTTCCTTGAGGCTTATTACCAGGCACAAACTGCTGTATTAGTTATAGATTTGTAGCAAAGACAGGACTCACTCAAGCTAACATACACAGAAAATAATGTATTATAATGAACTTAATTTCTTACTGAATTATTGGGAGGCAATAGAAATAGACTCTAGGTTGAGATCCCAAGAATAATTTCCAAGCCAACAATATAACTAGGCTTCCAAAGGGACTGCTTTTCCTGCCATAATCAGGAAACTTCTTGCCATATCAGGAATTCACTACTACTGATGCTTCCTTCATAATCACAACACCTGTGCTATACTACACATACACACACACACATGCACAAATGGATGCCTGTTCATTGCTTCTCTTTTCACTTAACTCAGTTTTGAATTCAAGTCTTATCCAAGTGTGCCTGATCTGAGGAATCCAAATCATAACAAGGAATCTTGTATTCCTGTTTTGTTCTGTTTTGGTGATTCAGCATCTGCATTATAAGAAAGAATATTAGAAAAAGGGTGGAATGGATATTGAACTGCCTGAGCCAATACATCTGCTACAGTTTACTCACATGGTAGAGATTTATGGAGTGAAAATCAAATTGTGAAAAAGCATTAGAATTAGCACTTCAATTTTGAACTGTTCCTTCCAGCATTTACTCTATAGAATTGTTGCCAAACTTTTAGTTTAATTCGCAACTTTAAGTACCTAATTTGTGCCAAGTTTTGGGGATACAAAGATGAATTATAACAGTTCCTTACCCATAAGGGGCTAACAGTCTATAATGCAGGATAGAGTAATCAATAGCTGTGGTAATTCAGGTATTAACACTGTACCAAGAGGTGAACAATATGCTATGAGATTTATTTAGCTTTGGGTGGGTATACAATGGATATTTGGGTACTCCTACATGCGTATATTTAAATCATGACTTCAAGAATATTTTTACGGTCTTAGACGAGAAGGAAAATATATTATTTGACAAGATAAGAACATGAATAAAGCATGAAAAGATGACTGTCCACGTGGAAGTATATGATGTCTGTTCATAGTATGTATACAATAAATATTTAATGAAATAAATATGAAAAAACTAGAATGCAGAGGTCATAATAGAAGGGAACAGAAAGTAGGCCAGGAAAATTAGGATTTTTAGATTTTTAAGGGCCTTGTAAGCCAGCTTTGAACAATGAGTCGTGAATGGAAATCAGGAAGTATCACTCCCAGGTCAGAGCATTTAATTGCTGGTACAAGACCACCCAGAGTGTTCTTTCCTCTCCTTCAAAACCACCAATGTCCAGAAGGAGACTGTGCCAATCATAAGAAATGTGAGAAAACTCAACTCTTCTAGACAAAGAAATCCCTTACTCATATCTTTATAATGATAACTCTGAAAGTACTGAGGTGGATAGATTATAGTGCCGATAGCCAGAGTCAGATCAGACAGAATACAATGTAAAAGTCTGTCTACTTGAACAGAAGCAGCAGTTTAGATGAAGAAGCTCATCGCAGAGACGTTGTAAGGAGGGAAATGAGAGGACTTAGTTGAAGTAAATATCTAGATGAAGAGGGAAGGGGAGAAGCCAGCAGTTTCCATCTTGGCTCTCTGAGTGAATGGTCATGTTTTCATTGGGACATAGACATTTAATGCTTACCAAGTGTCTATGTATGTTCCCATCGTGCCCCTGCCTCTTGCTGTAAGGTAAGATCATGTAACTACTTCTCGTCAATGAACTATAAGCAGAAATGATGTGTGTCTCTCCTGGGGAAAAAATAAAATTTACTATTTATTATATGCCAGTCACTGTTTTAAGTACATTCATTATATGTAACAATCCATTTGCTTCTAGAACAATGATATAAGGAAGGGTTATTTCATCCTAATTTTATAGACGAAGAATTTGAGGCACAGAGAAGTTAGATAATTTGATTGCATAGAGCTAGTATGTTGGACCATATTTTGCACACGCTGAATTTGAGACAGGAGTATCCAGTGTGCATATAGAGGTATGTTCTTCATGCTTCACAGATTTAATTTTGTGATTAATTACCGTAGAGTTGATATCTGAATCCATAGACAAGATAAACATATCTGGAAGCATATTATGCAAAAAGAAAAAGACTGAGGTAGTGCCCTATCAGGAGATATTTTTTTGAGACTTGAAATGACAAGTGCACACACAAACACAGTAGTATCAAGACTGGTGCATCTCTCCCTGGCCCTAAGGTTCTAGATCTTGCTGGTTTTATGAGGCTGACAGCTCATATTTCTAAAGCCAGTGCAGGATGAGTGGCAGAATTGCAGACCACTGCATAGAGCTGAGTCTCGCAAAGGCCTGGTGCCGGTCAGCAGAGCTCTCCACCACGAGGGCTACTGAGCTGATCGTCTCTGCCTCAATCTGAGTGGAGGGGAAAACAAGGGAAACGTCCACCTGATGCTTCCTCACTACACACCCACACTCCCTAAGGCTGGGACAACAACTGAAACTGGTCACCCTAAGAGTTCAAGGAAAACATAAAATATAAAGTAGACTAGTAAATAATGCTCCTCTTTGTGGAAGAACTTCTTGCAACTGTCCAGCTTTGGTAATGTTTCTTTCTCCACTTTTTCTTTATTATTATTTCTGAGAGATAAACACTTTTAATACTCCTTATTTTAAACAATCTTTCTTCTGCCCTACTCATCATTATCTCTCTGATCCAGCCATGACTCTGACCTCTGGGGGCCTTATATCTGAAATGCATGATTTCAACTACTATGTGCATATAAATGTTCTCTGATATCTATTTATATCTCTATGTCTAACTTGAGTTTCTGATTCCCTCTAAAAATTCTTATGCTTTGATGTCTGCCACACATCTCTAATTAGTTGTTCAACCAATATACAGAAAAAATTAAGGGTACATGATGGTTAACATTTCTTAATATTTTTATTCCTATGAGATCTCTGCAAGGCAAAATATGTTATCAGGGAGACAATATATTGCTGAAAAGAAAGCCTTTGGAGTCAGAGTTCTTTGATTTCAATCCTGTTTCTGCTGCTTATTTATACGTGAGAGTTAGAGTCCTCCCAGCTTCAACTTCTGAGCCACAGTTTCTCATTTGTAAGTTGGGGATAATTGAGCCTACTTCACCTGTTGTGAGTATTAAGTCAGTAATTCACAGAAAATTACTATATATCTAATGTATCTCAGGTCCCCTACAAAAGTTAGTTCTCAACCCTCTATTTGGTATTTTTGGTTAGATTTTTACTACCAGTCAGCCAATTGGGTCTATCGATTAGGATTTTTCAAATGATCTTCTTCAAAAATTTTTTGGTTCCAAGTTTTTGATAGTTTGGATTTTAAGAAAATTTATAATATGTATTAAAATTAATACTTTTTACTCAACAGTAATATGTATACCTTCCTTTAATTGAATGGAATTATGAATATATTATTTTTAAATAGTTTAATATATATATTTTAGCCTCTGTACTTTTTACATTGGGGAAAAATTTTCATTGACAATCATATGAGTATTCTCACTTGTTTGACTTTTTCACTCACCTCCTTTAAAAATGCAGCTTACAACTGATTATTTTATGAAATTCTCTTTCTTAAAATAACTAAATTCAGGGTCCAGCCCGGTGGCACAGAGGTTAAGGTCACACATTCTGCTTTGGCAGCCTGGGGTTCGCCAGTTTGGATCCCGAGTGCGGACGTAACACACGGTTTGTCACGCCATGCTGTGGCAGATGTACCACATATAAAATAGAGGAAGATGGGTACAGATGTTAGCTCAGGGCCAGTCTTCCTCAGCAAAAGAGAGGAGGATTGGCAGCAGATGTTAGCTTAGGGCTAATCGTCCTGAAAAAAAAAAGCTAATTTCCATCCTCTGACAGAAATTAATTACCCACTCAGTATATATTGGAAAACTCACAACCCTAGTTTGCAGTGATCTATGTTCAAATGCTGAAGTATCCCCCCCATTATGTAAGCTGTGTGTGTGTGTGTGTGTGTGTGTGTGTGTGTGTGTGTGTAGGTAAAAATTTTGAAAGAAATTTTGGGAAAGTCTTTTAGGAATGTGATTTAAGTTAAAATAGAGATTCATGAATGCTCTTTAAGCGCAATGATTTTGATCAAATAATCTGACTTATGAAGATATTTTGCTGTTATTTTTCTTAAGAATTTTCAACCAGCTTCCAGTTTCCAATTCAGACTCTTTCTGATAAGCAAACATCTATTGCAGAGCATCATCAATTTTGTACCCAGAAACAGAATAGACAAGTATGTTTGCCTCAGTGGGGACTATCCTGACATCCAATTGCTTTCCTATATTTTATTGTAAACCAATAATGGGCCAAAAAAGCTATTCTTTGCAGAGAAAGTTATGATTAATTTGTCTGGTAAGAAGACCAAAGGCTCTCCTTTCAACCTCCATCTGCACAAAAGAGAAATATTATAGTTGTTGCTTTTTCTTTTCCTTATAGGTTTCTAACTTTTATTTCAAAATACTAATAAATAAAATTTACACCTCAGCTCATTATGATAATGGCAGTCGGTATCGCCAATATAGCACAGACTGAGGGGAATTCTATTTCAGGGCAGTGAAAGCTTGTTAACAAACGTGTTCAAAAATAAATTCTTTTAGAAAAAAAATTATAACCCATTTTCAATTTTGCTTAACTTCATACATTATTTTCTATTTTGCAGTTTTAAAATGAATATAATTTGAAAGAGAAACTAATGTTTCGTATCTGGAGTGTGTTTTATGCCAGAACGAAAAGTACACGCCATAATCCCACGTACGTGCAGAGGACACTCATCTGACAATCATATTATCTGGAAACAGAGTATCAGCCAGGAACATCCAGGGATTCATTTACTCACTCAGGGTTTACTATTTGATAGGTGCTGGCTCGAAGGATGAGAAACACACACATCCCCAAACACAGTAGTCACAGAGACTACAGCAAATCAGGGGACATGGAGTTCAAGCATCCCTGCCCAAGCCCCACATACAACCTTTACTCAGGAGAGCTGTTAGCCCCTGAGTCACATCTCACAAGGGAGCGAAATAGGCCTGATGATCGAGCAGTCTGGCTCACAGCTGATCAAATAAGTAAATCAAGCCTGAGTGAGCCTGCTCAATGGTCAAGACATTGACAAGAAATGAAAGCACTTTGACTATGAGAATAGATAGAAAAGTTTTCCCCACCATGTAGTCCACTTATTCAACTACAAAGTAGCTCACCGTCTTGTTAAATTCCATTTAACCTCTGTTTAATATTTGTTGATTGTCTACTATGTGACGTATACTATGCATGGCTCCTGGCTTTATCAAAAATAGATGAGAAATATAGTCCCTAATTAAAAGGAACTCATGGTATTGTACATATGGATGTGTATTTGTGTTTGTGTGTGTATCTTTGGGGGATACTTGGTTTAGGTTTCAAGAGTCCAGATCAATCAGAGGGGATAGAGTGTCAAGGGAGAACTTTTACTAAAATGAAAGTTACTTAAAAATAAGGGTTAAGTCTGAAATTGCTGGCAGAGCAGGTAACGAAAGTATTACAAAGTGGGCAGAATGACAAGGTATCCTAGAAAGAGAAGAAGGAGGTTGGAATCAGAGTGAAGATGGAAGCACCCATCCCATTGTGGTAGCTGAAAGAAGGAAATGGGTGAGGATCAGGGAACATGAGAATAAGTGAGGAGGTGTGAATGTCTGCATGACTGTTCAGCAAATAGTCACCTCATTTCCTGTCCCACTGTAGGCAAAGTCTATTTCCATACCTCACTGATACTTTACCATATGACAAATGTGTTGGCCACCAGAAGCAGAACATGAGTTCCAAATGTAGGTTTTAATAAGTATCAAGTGTTTCTCCTCAACACTCTGGAAACTTTTGACCTCCACCCTGAAGACTATACCCCATGTAGCTTCTGCCCCTCTAGCCTGAGCCCAAAAATCAGACAGAGCAGAGTCCCTCAATCAACCTGAATACCTGTATGAATAAATAGCTTTTGAGAATAACTGAGGGTTCTCATTGAAAATAAATAGTTATTGTTGTATGCCACTGAATTTTGGGGTGTTTTGTTATGTAACAACAGCTGAGTAATAAATTAATTGGTAGCTAGAATGAGGATGCTACATTATGAGACACCTAAAGTGGATGACTTTAGCTTTGAGACTGGCTAATAGATAACAAAGAAACTTTTATTAGAGGCATGATAAATAGTGAACCATGGCATGTAATAGCAAAATATTTGATAAAACACTTGCCTGTGATAACTTGGAAGATTAAACAAATATCTAATGAAACTGTAGTATTGAGAAAGAAAGTTTTGAGTAGCATTAGGTAGATGATACTAGTTGCCTTTGGTAAGATACTGCAGAGGGGAAAAATGAGTCCAGAAGAGAGCTGGGTAGTTTGCAATCAGAACTTGAAGGGAACATATAGAAACCATAAATTGCAGGGTTAAAATCAAAGGCATAATCATTACAACATACCTTCAGGAGAAAGACAAAAATTCAGAGCACTGGATAAGAATGTAAAACCCTTTGTTAAGATCTCTAAGTGAATTAAAGTGGCCTCTAGTACATTCTTTGAGCTGGACAAGGAGCCACTAAAAAGTAGAAGGATGTGGTCCTATAGAAGCCTGATAAGTAAAAAGAACTATAATTATGTCTGCAGAAAAAAAGCAGCATGTTCATAAACAAACAAACAATAAGAATCCAAAAGCTTCTGGTTCTGTCGTTTGTCAGTTGGAGTTCACTGGCATCATGTATTGGTTGTGATATCATCAGTGGTATCATGACATCCACAGCTTACAGGAAGCTATATTACCAATATCTCCACCAGCCTGGAACAAATGAGACAGTCTATTTCAATGGAAAAATACCTGAGAGCCACCAGCTTTCTAGAGACAAGAAGCAGCCTGCGAAAGCTGCCTAACCAGCAAGGAGTACTGCTTTAAAAGGAGCGAAGTAGGATTATAGATAAAGAAGGACCTCCCAGAGAGTAGTACCAAGAGTGGTAGAGATGAATGGAGAACAGGTAGCCACTTCCAAGGAGCAAATCTGGCATTGATTCAAGGAACATCCTCCAGCCTCCGGGTTAAGGCGTCTGGCAACATTTGCCCAGAAGGAATTTAGAATTCCTGTGGACCGTTCACTACTTCTGCTGCTTATCCTTCTTGTAGAATGAAAATATTTATTGTGGATATCCTTGCTTGTTTCACTACTGTAAGTTGGGTGTGTGGAGAGTAAATGATTTGTCTCTTTGGTTCCGAAGTCTTCAAATCAAGAGGATGTACAGCTGAACAGGAGGTAGAGGATGAGATTCTTGTCTTAAAGTGATGCTGCTGTAACAGGTAAGTCTATTAGTGGTGTTAGAATAGGAGTACGTGTGTTTTACATGCAAGAGGACATGTGGAATATTTGTGAAGAAGAGAGTAGACTCTGATTCAGCAAATATTCACTCCCTCCTACCTCCCACTGTGGGTACAGTATACTTCTAAGCTCACTGATTTTGGATTTGACCATAACGCTTATTTTGGTCAAACGAAATGGCAATGGAAACAGAGTACAAAATCCAAGCATAGACCTTCAGATGTATCACATGTTTCTGCAGGCTCCTCTTGGAGCTTCTGGCTCATGTAATGAGAAACCCATAGCACAGGTAAGCCCTGAACCTCTAGTTTAGACTCCTGAATAAGATTTATGGGACAGAGTGGCCTCAGCTGACCTATACATAAGCAGACCAAAGTAAAGCCATTTCAATTAATCCTTAGAGTCACCATAGCTGACATATAGACCTATGGGCATGAGAATGACTGCTTATTGCTGCCCACCTCTGTGTTTGGGGGGCATGTTGTTATGCAGCAACTGCTGACTAATACAGGCAGGAAACTTAGTTCTGTGAGAAATAAGGAACAAGGACATCTGTTGAAAGTAGAGGAAAAGTGGTGTGATAAGGACCATGATTAGACTATCAAATTATTTTAAAAGTGGTTATGAGAAATAAGAAGGCATATGGAAACAGAATCTAGGGCAATATTGGAGACAAATTTTCTTTTTTTTCTTTGCCCACAGTGAAAGAAGTGTCACTTGCTGGTCAACTCTAAATGAATTCTTCCTTTATTCCGTGCTCTCTTGCCCTTTTTGAGATTTCACGTTATTTTGTATTTCTTTAGTGTCACAGATCTTCAAACTCTCCCTCTCATAATTACATGCCTACTTAAATCTCCTTTTCAATTTTTTTTAAATCTATAAATCTATCTATCTCTCTCTCTCTATATATAAACAACAATAAGAACACACCAAAAAGTATTATTACCCTTTTAACGCAATCATAAATTCTTAGCCTTTTAAAAACAAAAGATTTTCAAGGAGCAGAATAGACCCTTGAGATTTTGAACAGACACCTACAATTTTTGCAAAAGATCTTAGCTTTTTAAAATGCCATTTTCATGATAGAAGGCACATCATTTACTAGCAAAGAAATTCATTGGTGTTTATCAAACACCTAACATATTTTTGGTGTTTTCTCTATTTCCCACCTAATTCTCACAATAAACCTCCTAGTATGTTAGTGTTACTGTACTTATGTTAAATTAGAACCTGTCAAAGTGATGAACAATGTTAAATTCAGAGGTAAAATTCATCATGTCTCTTTCATTTCACTTCCTCATTCCGAAGTAATTCTCGGTGTTTCACATGCCCCTCCAATAACCTTAATAAAAACTAAAGAATCCTAAACTCTTTCTGACCACCAAACTGCTCTTTGCCAGATTCCATTCATCTGGAAGTCTCTGCCATGTTAAACATTATTGACTTTTATTTCCTCTTTCAAATATTCTTGTCTTCTGTGACCTTACATTGCTCAAGCCTTCTGTTTATCAATTCTTTTTGCAGGTACTCCTCGTGTCCTCATTCCTTAATTTAATCAGATCCTATGGGTTTCTATTTTCCTTTTGATCTACTTCTCTCTCTACGTTATCATAACAATCTGTACACTTGCATGGTTTTGATGCCCAAACTATATTTCTGTTTTTTCTTCCTTTCTACGCTTTAGCTAAAGTCTCCACATATCCTCAATTGTAGCTTTGTTTATGATTTCATGAAATAATATTTTGTGCATTGCTTTCTGCTTGTGTTGAAATCTTATATCCTTCAAAGCACTACATAAGTTTATTAAGGGTAAATATGTATTCTTCGTTTTCTAATCTCCTGAACCTATTGAAATGTTTGGATATAAATCATCAGTAAACATATTTGCATTCACTTGTGCATAATAAACTTTTTTAAAAGCCCCAATGAGGGTCATTAGGATCTGGAAGCATTTTAAAATCCCATGAAATCACTATTATCTTAAGACAAACAAACTAGTGCTTATAACCGTGTCTCTGATGAACCAACAAAAAATTAAATATTAAGTGTACTCAGTCAAGAAAGTAGAATATATGGTAAATAAATTAGCCTGAATTGTTCAAACAAGCTAAGTTTTCATCTTAAAGAAGATTAACCACACGATCTGAACATTTATTTATTTCAGATGTTCTTTTCAAGATAGATTCATAAATTGTTGCTCTACTAAAAGTACAATTTAACAGTAGCTTCCAACCTATTCTACATGCAGAACTGTCACTATCTCATTACCATAGACGATCTGTCCTGGCTACTGAGCGATTTCACAGCTTTGTCTCTATTTAGATAGATTGTGGCGCTCTAGTCCCAGTGATGGGTGTCATCTACTCTGAGAGAAAGTAAAACCTCCAGGATGCATTGTTATCTAACCAGAAGTATCTTCCACAGCGTCTTGGAGTCATTCCCCAGAGTAAAATTTGTGCACTGGGGAGACATATCTTCTGAAGTTCTAATTTCATTTTTTAAGGTATGTTGAGTTTTAAAGAACTGAAAATACTAGATATTTAAGTTTTAAAAAAACTCAAAATTTTAATAAAAATAATTATTGAATTTGAAAACAAACCTGTATGTTAGGGGAACTAATTACATCCTAGAATAATGTGAAATAACTTTACAACAACCTCCAATCAGATAGAATCATTTTCCGCAATTTTTTATTACCAAACAAGATAAAATATAGAACAAATGTTAGATTTACCCTTATAGGAAATCTATTCTTCACTTCAGTTACAGTGAATAATTGTCATTTATTCACAATGTTTCTTTTAACATTATTAAGAAGAATACACGTATTTTTACAAATTTTAAAATTCGTTCGTTTTTAACGTTTTCTGAAAAATGTCTATGTAATTATTAAAATTCTATTTTCTCTGTTTAAGTTACTAAATATTCTTTACTTCTAAAGAAGAACATTTGATAAATTTGTGTTACAGTGCTCAACTGGAGGAAATGGGCCTAAAGTGCTTATAACCAGTTCTTCTCCACACTGTACCTGCGTGGTCTCCTTTGCATAACTTGTTCTGAGATATCACACAATTGCCTAATTGTCTATTTTTCTAATTTTCATACCTAATAAGTTCCAGTTAACTTTTCTTTTCATTAAAGATATGAAATTAGGAAAGCCCTGCTTTTAATAGGAAAAATAGAGTAAAAGAATTCTTTATCCTAATGTTGATTTTCTGCCTTATTCCTCTGTGGCGATAGATCTAAACACGATGATATGAGTTACATAAGACGAAAATTGATCCTTCTTAGTTTTTGATTTATTTGCCTTTTAAAAAAATATTAAAGGAGATTTCATTCCTTACAGAGAAATTCTTGATTTTCTAAGCCTTTCCTGAGGGGCTGAAATGAAAATATTATTTGGGAAGACAGGGTATGGGACCCCCAGAAGTAATTATGTATATCTGCCAGTTAGAACTTAGAATTCTCCTTTAAGTCATCTTTAAAAGATTATTGTATTGGGGCTTTATAAAGCAATTATGGGGGACCCAAAAGGTTCCAAATGTGTGTCTGAATGATCAAAGATAACAATGCTCATTCTAAGGCATGTCACTACTTTACAGGTGTATTAACATTGTTGGCCAAATAATGACCCTTTGTTCAATAACAACATGTGGAAGTGCATCTCTCTAGGTCACTGTAGGACAAGGCGTCATTCTCAGCCTCCTAAGCGATTTTAACCATTATCATGAGATGTTATTGCCATTCCTATTAATATATAATATTGATATACCATATGTCCTGGGATGGAGCTTCAATATTTGCCTAACTTTAGCTATTTCTTACATCATTTTTAAACTTCAAAATCACATTTAAATGAATAACGTCTACTTCTTAATCTTATTCCATATTTCATTTACCTCATAATATTCAACTTCCATTTTCTGTATAGATTGTGAGGCCTAGAGCGCTGCTTCCTGTTTCTCACAGTTTGGTAGCCATTGACTTCTAGGATGTAGAAGTTTTCTAAAAATTGCTTAGACTTAATTCATTCTGAACGTTCAAATCCGTGGGCAGGAGCGACAGAAAATTCCTTGAACTTACTCCAAGGAGGGCAATCTGTTTATGATGTGTTGACATGGCAACAGTTACCTTGGACACCCAGCTTCTTCTTGTTTTCATCACTCTACCTTATTTTTGCCCTTTAATATGCAGCATCCAGCTCATGCTGTGTTGCAGGGATTTGATACTGTATTTCTGACCCTCTCCCATTACCCATGGCCACATGTAAGTGTTGTTTCCACACCAGTAGTTATCTTCTTGTAACATGATTATTGACGTTTATAATGTTTGAACATGTCAACAGTTTAACCCAAAATATAAACCCAATAATGGTATTGGTTTACAGATTTTACGATTTAGTATCATGAACACGTTCTGTGAGTGGCAAATACAACAGCAGAATGCTTGTGAGCTTATACATATACTTGGTGGGAAACAAACGTTTCTTTCTATCATGATTCGTTAGTAAATATAGATGCTAACTGCGGAAGTTAATATTCTTTTTGTGTTTTGAGGTTGACTTTTTTTTTCCTTTTTCGTACTTAAGTCCCAGTCTTTGGGATTCAATTGTCACTCTGATGCTTACCAGAGGCAAGTTATCCAAAAAGTTACTTAACCCGTATTGCTTCAGTTTTCTCACCTATGAAATAGAAATAATAAAAGTTACCTATTTATAGGACATTTGAGGATGAAGTGGAACAATACATAGGAATTGCTCAGGATACCACTCCTATCACAGCTTTGTTAACAAATAGTGGCTATTGTAATATAATAGAGTAATTTGGGTACATACGATTTAATGGTGTGAACTAGTGTCTTAGTGACACCACCAATTTGTTTCTAAATACATCTTAAATGAGTAGGAAAGCTGAGTAGATGGGTAAGTGATATGGTCAGAGACCACTTTATTAGAAATTTCTCTTTATCAATGCAGAAAATTAAAATCTTGCTCTATAATACTCAGTAATAAAATTAGAAAGCAATATTTGAAAAAATTAGTGCACTATGTTATCAGAACTAATGCACTAATCTTAATTTTGCTGCTTACTGGCCACATGAGTTTGAACAAATTGGAGTTCTGCTTACATTGTGACCAAGATCTGAACAAACCGAACTCCCTCAGATAACAATATACTCTGTATAAAATGGTGTTCTGCAAAGTGAGCAAAATCGGGAAGATTCTAGAGGGACTTTGAAACTTGGACAAATGGACCAACAAAGGTGAGTTACTCATTTAGGGATGATTCTCAACAGCTTTTTAGCATTATACTGATAACAGTGATATTTTATTTTCATATGGTCTCCTTGAGACTCCCCCGCCCCCCAGCACTCTGCCTTTGAACCTAGTCTGTAGCAGAATTATCTACATAATAGCAAAACATGAAAGACCCCAGCCAAGACTCCACACTGTGCCTCTGTGCACACATTGGTGGTTCCTTATAGGAGAAAGTGTGTCCTGCCACAACTCTTATAGGCAGTGGAGAATAAAAACCTGTGCCTGGCTTCTCTGGTCCCCGTGCTGTAACACCATAAGGCTATGATTCATATCCTTATTTTAATGCCATTTCTATATTGTATTATTTTTCTTCCAATAACTTTAAATTTGCAAGCAGGACTTTTAGGTCCTGTGAGAATTTTTTAACAATTGAACCCTATTTATCTGCCACTGTTAGTGCTTATGGTATGTTTACTGAGACATAGAGATATAATTTAGTAAAGAGGAGTATGATTGCAATAAATTGATCATAGAAATATGCTCAATTAGTGGAAAATATCAACTAACCATTTTACAGGAAAAGCATTCCCTGTGAATTGAAATGTAGACAGAATAATTACTTTTCTCTTCTTTACTGTTAAGCTGCATCATTGGCCTTTGACTTAGTTTTGTTGAATGGGAGATTAGAATGATTGATTGTAAGTGTGCAATATCTGCAAACTTTTACTAGATTTCTTGATAACATCACATTGACATTCTGTAAAATGATATTTTATTGACCAACATACAGCAATCTCTCTTTCAGAATAGTAGTTGTCAAACTCCTTTTTAAAGATATACTTTTATCATATTTTCATTGTGCAGTAAGATCTATAATACCAAATATTAAAAGAACATAGACAAATTGATCTCCTAGGTACATTTTCAAAAGACCAATCATTTTGATAATATAAAGCATAGAATATGAATTGTCAATAATTTTATATTTTGGTCACTTTTATTTTCTATTTCATAATTATCGAATAAATTAAGTAAATTATTAGTAAATCTGACTAGATTTTCTTTTTCTTTGTGATTGTCCCTGATAATAGGTGCCTTGTTGTTGCACTATAATAAGCCTGGATAACCATCAAGGTCTAAAAATACCAACTTAGGCTCTATTTTTGGGCCCTTGCATCTGAAGGCTTTTGTGCACATGCTGGTGGGTTTTGAACTTACAGAGGATTTGTGTCCTTACAGACAAGGATAGTTGGAGCTCCCCACTGACCTTTCAGAGTTCAGACCCTTTGCTGTTGAGTTTACTGTTGGCTGTGCTGCCTTTCCTCACTTTAACGGAGTTGCCTGGTCCTGAAATAAACTATAGGTTTGTCAGCATTGTCATGTGAATTGTTTTTAGACATTGAAGCCTGTCTTTCATTTCAATGATAAGCGTAAAAACCCACATTCTTTCTGGCCTGAAGAATTGGAAAACAGTTTGAGGGATCCACAGACTCTTGAAATTGAAGGGAGAATCCAATTCTGCGTAAAATTTTTGCCTGTATCCCTACTGATCCCTGAACGACACGTGTGGGGCAGACAGCAAAGAGGACATGGTAAAGAAATAAAGAATTGAAATGGGATTTGAGCTGCTGCACAAGGACTTTATAATTGGAAACTGTAGGGGAGGAGGACATTTCCTCTACCCACTCTGGGGAGGTCCTTCTGGCCAGGCTATGAATTAAATTGACATGAGACAGAATAATAGGAGAAAATCAAACAAAGCTTTATAACATGTCTACATGGGAGACACTCAGGAAAACCTAGCAACATGCCAAAATGGTGGAGGGTTTCATCTTAAATACCAGCTTCAGCTAAAGATAAAGGAGGATGTTGGGATGGGGGTGGGGGGGGGAATCCGTTATGGGAGATCACCAGAAAAGCACAATAAACAAGAGTAAGGTTATTATGCAGATTTAAGTCCTTGCCTTCCACATTGATAAGAGATTTTAGAGATAAGGTCATTCTCCTCTTCTTGGTACAGTTGGGGAATCCCCTTACAAATGTAAATATCTTTAGAAGGGGTAAGTAATTTCTACTTTTCAGAGTTTCTCTCATGTCTGCAGTTTTTAAAAGTAACCAGCCCAAAATAATCCTCATCCCAAAGAGACACATTTTGGGGTGGCCAATTCCAATCCCCCACAAAACCAACCAAGTTAAATACCTGCTAAAACAATAACCGCAAAAATCAGCACTGTTCAGAGGGAAGTGACAGAATTCTTATAGAGCCTCTACAATATGAGGTCATAATGAACAGGACATAATACTATATTACACTGTATTTTATTCCACAAACAAAGAATCAGAATAATGTGACCTATTTTCAAAAGAAAAATATCAATGTAGGCCTATCTCCAATGACCCAGATTTCGGAATGAGCAAACAAGGACTTTTAAGCAACTCTTGTAACAATGCTCATGAGGTAAAGAAAAATGCACTTGTAATGAATGAAAAAAAAGATAGGAAGTTTCAGCAGAAAAATAAAAACCATATAAAAAAATCTATGGAAATAACAGAACTGAAAAATATAATATTTGAAATAATTTGAACAAATTTCTTTACCATTGTAACATTTTTCTTCTATAAAATGAACATATTATAGAATCTCCAACTACTTTACAATCTTGTTGTACACAAATACGTCATATGAACAAAAAAGTGCATTTTAGTTTATACTTTGCCACAGATGTAAGTAAATAATAAATACTGGGAAATAATTAGAATCATATTAATATTCTACCTTAAATTATACCCATTTATTAGTTTGAAAATGCACATTTAATTTAAAAACTGTGATTTGGTGAAATATATATTAATATATATAAATATGTGCAAATTTTTAGGTAAGAACTAGGGAACTACAAGGTATAATATGAATAATTTCTTATCTCCCTGTGTAATTCAAATAAATTACTTGTTGGCAGTGATGACTAATAAGTTAAGAAAATGGCAGCAGAAATAAACACAGCAGTTTTGCTGGTGAATCACAGGGCCTTACAATATGATCAATCTTTATTTTTTAAAAATTTATAAAATGACAAATTGTATAACTGAATTAATAAATACAATCCATCTGTGGAGTTCTTTCTTGTATTACTAGAATGGATCCTAGTCTCTGCCATACATTGACTTCACTTGTGTTTAAATCAATGGTCCCATTTAGGCCAGAAGCCTACTTTGAGAATTGTGGAATTTCTCTGCTACAGAGATCTATAAATCCTGGTTGACCACAAAGACATGTGAAACATCAAGGAAGTGCTCCAGGTATCATTTATCATATAAACTAAATATACATAACAACCAGACTATTTTTGTAACTTAAAGAACTCAGTTGTTCCAACGTTTTCATGTTACAATATGATCACCATATTGTCATAGACACTGCCATCACTAAAAGTCACAACAAATTTTGAGTATCCCTTGAAAGTAAAAACATCATATTTTGCTACCAGCAGCTCTGGCTATCCATTTGTGACATTTAACTGTGTTACACTTACGATCCTAGTTTAACCAATTTCTTACCTTATAACAAAAGTCAATTCAATCCTCATGTTTATAAGGCAAATATCTGAAATTTTGTAATTAAAAAAATAGGAAAATAAATTAAAGCTGCATAATCTTAAGTGTTTTCAGGTAAATATTTTTTTTCCCAAGTAATAAATTATTTTTAAAGCATGTTTGTGTGTATCTGTGTTAATTTAGCTTGACATACTTAAAGCCATTGTAAACGGCAGGCTTTTCTTTAAACTGAGCAAATAAATTTGGACATGTGAACATGTGCGTTTAAAGTTCAGGGTTAGAAACTCTTTTAAATGTGCTCTGAAGGGTCAGTTTGTGACAAGATATAACACATATTTAACACGGTGGTAGATCACCTCGTGATGTGCTGGGTCGTTTGAAGCAACAAAACCTAGGGCATTGCTTTTTTACTTTTCTTCACCAAAGAGCAGCATGGAGGCATAATTGGGGAAATCAAAATGATGTAGTTTACTGAGACCTGTGGTGAAAATGACTGTTTTCATTGAGGCTCTTTTTGTTTTCTTTTGGTTGCCATTACTAATCCCTTTCCTTTCCCCTACTTACTTGCTTTTAAAGGATTTCTTTCTCAACAGAACTAGCAAGCAAGACTTCCTGCTTCAGTTAATCCAGCTCACCACTTGTTTTTTTTATGTGTTTTATCTTTTCAGGACTCAGATCTCCCACGGTTCATTCATTTCTGTGCCCACATCCCTTTAACTGGTGGTGAGCATTTCTTTGATCTTGGAAAAGACTGAATAGTCACTTTTAGTCTTCATGTAAAATGCATTGTCATTCAAGTCAATAAAATGGATTTCAGGCTCTATACTTGTAAACTACAGAGCACATATGGACAGATTTCGGGGAACTCATAGAACTCTGTTTTTCAAAACTGATTTTCCCCACATTTGCTTAGTCAGTTATAATCTCAATTGATAGTGCTCATCCAATTCAGAAGAAATACTTCTTCATAAGTTAAATGTTCACTGTTTTCAGGCATCGTGCTGGCCTGCAAGATGAGGTAATGTTATATGAAGTAATGCACTATAAGGGGAAAGAAAAAAGAAAAAAAAATCTCTCAAATAAAGGAGTTACTTACTATCTTGATGTTTTATCCAAAATAATTAAATCAACCAAGAGGAATGAAAACCTGAGCTTATAACAGATATCTGATGAATAACATTTTGCAAAGGTAACTAAAACCCTCTCTCAAGTCTCTTCTTTATTTCCTTCAGATATTATGACTTAGGTTTTATAGCAGCTGTTTTATTATACGTGATAGCAAAGGGAGAGGATCAATAAAGCAAAGTGGAGAGTACCCACAGTGAGACTGAGCTCCACTTAAGAAACGAATCTTTGACCATGCATGAGGGAAAAGCCCAGAAGCGAAACATTAGAAACTAATAGGGCTTTTTCTATTTCTAAGACCCACATGGTGTGGCAACACAATTGCTGAGTATTTACATAAAATAAACATTTTTAATACAGTAATGTGACCTGAACATGTGTTAATCTTGTAATTTTTGCCACATATATATATATATATATAGATGTTATTTCCTAATATCAAATGACAAGACATATTTAAGACACAAAAAGAGAAAAGAAACTTATCTATCCATTACTATTTAGTTTCATCATTATTTATTTTGAAAAAATGTAAGGAATATTTCTATTCCCATCTTCAGAATATATTTTAAAACTAGTCAAGGTGTGGACGTCAGCAAGATAGTGGGAGAGGAGACTCGAGACCCTCCTTCTCCCCACAGACCACGGATTTAACAGCTACACAAGGATCAATTCCCTTTGTGAGAAATCCAGACACTGGTTGAGAGACTCCTGTATATCAAGGAAGTGAGAAACTACCCATATTGACTGGTGGGAAAAGCTGAGGCTCACTCTTGCTATAAGCCCCATCCCTGGCACAGTGCCACACAATTAAGAGGTAGCCCTCAATTCTCAGTTTCTACCTGAGGTTTTGAAAAAAAGAGTTTTGACCACACTTCCAGCGCCCCAACTTCTCCTACTCAGAGTTGGGTTTGTAATTCTTCTGTTTCTGGGTGGTGGAAGGGCCAACATTCACTAGACTACCAAGAACAAAGCAGTGGTTTTGAATAAGCATGAGGGGACTTCCCATAACTCCTCCCAATCAGCTCACTCCAGCAATAAAACCATGCCTCCCTCTTCTTTCTGTTAGGATTGGGCCATACACTTAGGTCCTCGAATTTTCCAGCTGCTACTCAAGAGATAGGCTGCTATCTTGTCTGTCTCTGAGAACTGACAGGCCTAGCATTCCCTAGACTCCTGGGGGCTACAGAGAACAAAGCAATGGTTTGAAAGACTGTGGTCTGGACAAGCATTCAGGCATTTCCAAAGATCCAGTCACTGCCTCAGTGCAGTGAACAGGTGATGAACTCTTGTTCCCAGCCTCTCCCTAAGGAGAGAAGGATTTGCCCTGCACATCTAGCATCTCAACTTTTCTGGGTGCTGGGATTGGCTTCTTTATTGCCTGTCTCCAAGCACTTATGGAACTTGGCTTACTCTAGATTCTTGGGGACTGCTAAGAACAAAGATATCAGTTTGGACAAGCATAAAATTTTAAGAAGCACACAAAATATCTGACCAGGTTGAGTGGTGAGGGTCTTCTTTTGTATGAAGTCAGTTTGTGAAGAAAGGGAGAGGACTGTTTTATCTAATGCACAAACACTAACACAGTCAAGGAAAATGAATAAATAGGAAAATATGTTCCAAATAAAAGAATACAACAAATCTCCAAAAGCTGACCCTAATGAAACAGAGACAAGCAAACAGTGATTTACCCAACAGAGAATTCAAAATAACCACCATGAAGATGCTCGATGAGTTTGGGACAGAAATGTATGAGCAAAGTAAGAATTTCGACAAGAGATAGAAAATATTTTAAAAGTACCAAGCAGGAATCATAGAACTGAAGAATACAATAATTGAGCTGAAAACTTTAATAGAAGGGTTCAACAATGGACTAGATCAAATGGAAGAAAGAATCAGTGAACTCAAAGATAAACCATTGGAAATCATATAGTCAGTGGAGCAAAAAAGAAGAAAGAATGAAAATAAGAGTGAAGATAGCTTAAGGGACTTATAAGATACCATTAAACAGACTGATATATCCATTATGGGAATCCCAGAAACAGATCCTATATCACACCATATACAAAAATCAGCTCAAAATGGATTAAAGACTTAAAGGTAAGACCTGAAACCATAAAACTCCTAGAAGAAAATGTAAGTGGTAAGCTCCTTGACATTGGTCTTGCCAATGAACTTTTTGCATCTGACACCAAAAGCAAAGACAACAAAATCAAAAATAAGCACGTAGGTCTACAACGCACTAAAAAGCTTTTGCACAGCAAAGGACACTACCGACAAAATGAAAAGGCAACCTACCAAATGGGATAAAATATTTTCAAACCATATATATTTGATAAAGAGTTAAGATCCAAAATACCTAGGGAACTCATACAACTCTATAGCAAAAAAAATAAATAAATAAACATTCCAATTAGAAAGTGGCAGAGGACTGGAATAGACATTTCTCAAAGGAATACACACAAGTGGCCAACAGATATATGAAAATGTGCAAAACATCAGTAATCATCAGGGAAACGCAAAAGCAAACCACCGTGAGATATCATGTCACATGTGTTAGAATGGCTATCATCAAAAAGACAAGAGATAACAAATATTGGCAAGGATGTGGAGAAGAGGGAACTCTTGTACACTGTTGATAGGAATGTAAATTCATACAACCATTATAGAAAATGATACAGCGGTTCCTCAAAAAATTATAAATAGAACTACAATATGATCTGGCAATTCCACTTATCTGTATTTACCCAAAGGAAATGAAATCAGTATGTTGAAGAGAGAACTGCACTCCCATGTTCATTGCAGCATCAATCACAGTATCCAAGATGTGGAAACTACTTAAATGCAAACAATGGTTGAATAGATAAAGAAAATGTGGTGTATGTATATATACAATGGGATATGTTTCAGTCTTAAAAAGAAGGGTATCCTGCTATTTGCAACAACATGGATGAACCCGGAGGACGTTATGCCAAGAGAAATAAGCCAGAGGCAGAAAGACAAATACTTCAGGATCCCACTTGTATGTGAAATCTAAAATAGTCAAACACATAGAAGCAGAGACTAGAATGGTGGTTTCCAAGGGACTGGGGGAAGGGGGAAATAAGGAGATGTTTGTGAAAGGGTACAAAGTTTTCCCTTACACAAGATGAATAAGTTCTGGAGATTGAATGTACAGCATGGTGACTATAGTTAACAGTACTGTATTTTACATTTCAAATTTGCTAAGAGGGTAGATCTTAAGCCTCTCACCACAAGGGAAAGAAGGAAGGAAGGAAGGAAAGAAACTATGTGAGGTGACAGACATATTAATTAGCTTGATTGCGGTGATTATTTCACAATGTATACACATAGCAAAACATTAAGTTGAAAACCTTAAATATTTGCAATTTTTATTTGTCATTATACCTTAATAACGCTGAAAGAAATTAGTTAATGTGTAAAGGCAATAAATATGCTCAATATTTGTGTAAGAAATATTCAGGACATTGGAATAAAAGTGTTTCAAATGGAAAATTGCATTCTTTGGAACATGCTCTTTCAGTTAATCTGATCATCTAGGGATTCTGTGCCTTTCTTTGCCTTTGAGCCATTTTGCAACTTTGTTAGTTTTTATATAACTGAGAGCAATGCAAAATAATCCATGTGTATAGATATGCAAACAAATACTGCCATGTGGAGATTCAACTCAATACCCTTCCTGACTGCATTAGAAGTCAGTTTTGCATCGGTCTGCAAATTCATTTTAATATTCCAGATGTATAAATGTGTCTGTTCTTTGGATTCTTCTCTGAACCAGCTATAACTTCTTACCAGTTCCTTCCTTTACTTAATAAGTTAATAAAATCTTTGCTATGTGATTATTTTATACATATATGAGAGTCACAATTTTTACTTGAAATTTATTCTTTAAGCTTAGGTAATTTCCAAAATCCTGTTCCAAAATTACAAAGGAGCTAGATTTTTATATGTTTGAAGGTAGTAAAAAGAATATATTAATAAACCTCAGCACTAAAGAGCTAATCACCAAAAACACATGGAATACGACTGGAAGCCAGAGTTGGGAAGAGAGGAAGGGTGCTTAGAGATTTTTCTCCTTTGGTTTGTTGGAGTCTGTCTAGATGTTTCTTATCAGGGAAGAGGAAATAAATGCTTGCTCTCAAGTGTAGGCCTGAAAGATTAGAAATCAAGAGAACAGTCACTTTGTTGTTGACCATAGCAATACAGAATTGCCTGTAGTAGGCTGAAGACAAGACAACAAATCAACAACTGGCACTAAAGAAAAAGTATAAATTGAACTAATATCCAGTAAAGAGAGCAGGGATAGAGAAAACATCAAATGTGCTATGAAGTTCATAGACAGGAATGGAGCGGGAAAAATCAGTTGCAGGGCTACCAGATTCATCACAACCTAGGGAATTTAAGAAAAGGTGTTTCCATTTTTGCCCTTTTAATTTGTTTCATTTCAGTCTTCAAATGTAAAGCAAGAATAAACAATTTCACTGATGTGAAGACATCAAAACATCCGAAGAAACATAAACAGAAACACAAACTCTATCTTTTTGAAAGCAAAAAAAAAGAGGAAGTTTGTCTTTTTCTCAATAACTTCCCTTCCATTTTTAGGATACAAGTGAGCATTAGACAATGCTCTAATCCTTATTTTCTAAATCTGTGGTCTTCATATTGGA